GATACTAGTCTTAATTCTAAGATTGTTAGTTAAATGGGAATCACTCAACCTATTTCTTTCATTTTGATGTTTTTAATGCATGAAAAGAATTGTTCACAACAGTATGTATTGCACCACATGCATAAGTTCTCTGTATAAAACAGGTTTTTAACACCAATTACGTCATTAAAACATCAAAGTGTATCTAGTGAAACAAGAATAAGTTTTAGGACATACTTTACCAAAATAAATGAAAATATATCTTAAAAAATTTAGAGTGCAGTGTGGCCAGCAGACTGCAGGTTTGACATCCCTGGTTTAAGAGAACATTTTTTTGAATCTGTTGAAATTAGATTTTAATATTGGGATTGATCAAATGAAACCTTTCTGGTGTAAGACGGATGATGTCACATATGGTATGATAAGCATAACCCAATGAACAAGGGGGAAGAAGTTTAGTCATTTGGCAAGTTTTGTGTTTGGTGTAGAGTAGTGAAAACATGACTGGAGTTATTCAGAATCCATCTAAGGTCAATCAGCGAGCGATTATTCAGTTTCTAACAGCAAAGGATGTCGGCCAGTCTATATTTGTTGCCAAAAGCAGCTGGTGTATGGCAACAAATGTGTATAAAAACAACAGTGATGGATTGGCCCCAAATATTTAGGATGGCCATCAGAAAACAGAAGATTGCTATGGCCAGGCCAAGCGCATGTTGTTGTGACAGATAAAGCTATCATAAAGATTGACGCAGCAATAAGTGGGGACTGTTATTAGACCTTCTCTAACAGAAGAGAGTCATGTCATTTGGTACAGTTCAAGTGATGGTTACGAAGAAGCTTCAGTATTGGAAGGTGTATGCACAATAGATACCATAGGCAGAATGCATGGGTTGGAGTTTGAACCATTTGCAGTGATATGAGATGGCGAGTGATGATTTTTTTGTTGTATATCATTGCAGGCAACAAAATGTGGTGCAACCACCTTTGAGCCAACAGTACAGAAGCAAGCATGCAAACACCCCAGCTCACCAACACAAAAATTTCAAGCCTGTAAAGTTATGATAACTGTATTTTTTGACATTGATGGGATCTTTGCTGGTGGACTTTAAATACCCTCATGTGAGCATCAGTGCCAACTGCTACAATTCAACATTGGAGAAGGTTCATAAAGTCATAAAGAATAAGCAACCAGGCATGATATCACATGTGAACACTGCAAGATGCCTTATTACATAAAGGTTGGGAGGTTATGCACTATGCACTGCCCTTTAGCCCTGATCTGTCACCATGTAACTCATTTGTTTGGACCTTAAAAAAGCTTTTAACCTATCAGATGGTCAAGGTTTTCTCCATTGCATGTGATGCCACATTGAATTTTCATCAATGTTAAGCCTAATGAACATGACATGTTTTCGAAAAGAATACTTGTGGCTATTGTACAGTCCGAAATTATTATTTTTTTAAATTTTGTAACAACAAAATAGATATATAGTAGAGCATCGATCAACCAAAACATCAGTTAACCGAAAGCGTTCAAGTCAGCAAATTTAAATTTTTGCTAGTGCTGTGGCACTGCAACATTTGGCTGTCTTAGGCTACTCCAATATTATTTTTGGTGTGCATGTTTTAGTTGGCAGCACTGGTGCGACCATGAGAGGGTACTTAAGGACGCACCAGAATTTGAATGAATTTCAACATGGGATGGGTTAATATATTTTTTCGTACATAATCGGTTATCCGAACAACCCCAGTCTCGAATTGTTTTAGATCAGCGATTCCCAACCTGTGGTATGCGTACCCCTAGGGGTACGCGATAGGCTGTTTAGGGGTACAGAAAGAAGTTAGTTATTATGGCAGAAAAAATAATATATTATGTATCACAAACTAATAGTATTAAAAAATTATTAGATAAATAATGTTCCTTGCAACAATCACAACTTTATTATACATTTTTTCTTTTAGGTTTTTTTTCTTTAATTAAAGTTACAATATGTAAAATTAACAATACGGTTACTCACTAAATTTCTTAAATGAGGGGTACAATGTAGAGATATGACATGCCACGGGGTACAATCTAGAGATATGACATATCACGGGGTACGCTAATGAAAAAAGGTTGGGAACCACTGTTTTAGATAATTGATGTATTAATAAATGTAATAACCAAAAAAATTATATTTTGAAAGTTAGTTTTAATATAAAAATTATAATGACTAGTGACATCTAGTCATTATAATTTTTACATTAAAACTAACTTTTGAAATATATTAATAAATGTAATAACCAAAAAAATTATATTTCAGAAGTTAGTTTTAATATAAAATTATAACGACTAGTGCTGTCTAGTTTCAAAAACGTTTCAATGCTGAAACGAGATAACTCAGGTCAACTGGTCAAGGTCAGTTGAAACAACCCAAAGATATGTTGGGAATAACATGGGACAGGTTAAAGCAGTGTTTTCCAACGTGGAGCCCATGCCCACAGGGGGACAATTCTAAAATGGACTCGTCCAGAGTTTAAATTAACCGTATAGCTGCTGTATTTGTTAGGGGAGCATAAGAATTTTAGAAAGGCTTAGGTGGGGTATAGCACAAAAAAGGTTGGGAAACACTGGGTTAAAGTGTAGAAAGATATTTGATTTTCTCACATTTATGACATAATTTATGATCTTNTAATGACTAGTGACATCTAGTCATTATAATTTTAATATTAAATGAGATATCTTGGGTCAACCAGTCGAGGTCAGAGGTCACGACCCCCAAGATATGTCGGGAATAACACAGGACATATTAAGGAACAACATTGTGGAAGTCAAGGAAGTTGTCACCTAATGATTCAAGGACCAACTAACATCATTCTTTGCAGATGGTATCTGTCATCTTCCCAAGCAGTAAGATGTGTGTCTGAATGCCTATGGTGACTTTTTTACTGAACAAAAGTGTATTCTGGCTTTCTCATGTATTGCTTTGTTTAATTATGCCATATCAACAAATATGCTATTTCATTTGTCTGAATAAATTTACTTTAACATATTTCATTTGATCAATTTTTGTAAAACCAATAAAATAAAGTAATTACTGTATCTGATCTTCACTGTTATTAAATTAATTAATTAAAATGTAATGATATATGATAAAATTGGAGCACTTATTATATTAGTTGTAATACTTAGTTAAATTTAGAATTATTAAGTTAAGACAATTTGCAAAACTGTTTACCTCTTATCAACGATTTGTTGAATTTGGAGTTTGAAACCTTAAAAATGAATACACAGATATGAAATCAGAATAGTACATTGTTTGGCATTTGGATTTGTAAGCATAATAAAGATCTATCAGTATTACAATTAATGTTTTAAATCTGTCAGTACTTGCAAACTAAATTACAATATATGCACATTTCCATATAGGAAATAGCTGTAAACTTAATGTATAGTCACATCTCTGATCAGATTTCCAGAAACAAATAAGTTTGCACAAGATGCAGACTTTATTGTCAATTTTATAGTAATTAGATTAATTAATATTATTTTTCTTTGATTCTAATGTGCACAGAGTTTGAAATAAAATATATTTTTAAACTTTTTATTTGTGGAGGAAGAAATTTTTAAATAATTTTAATAAGTTTTGTTAAGTAGCAAAATTTTAGAAAAAAAAGTACATATACTATAAAATAGAACATGAAAACATCATCATTATCTATTTTAATGCTTTTTTACACATACTTAATTTTAATACTTTATCATAACATTGTTTTGAAGATATTTTAATTGCTAAAAAATAGTTTTAAGTGTTTGTTACTAGCAAAGCTCAGTTGAAGTAATATAACTGTTGAGAAATCTTATCAAAAATGTCTTAGTAACTAATGTGTCATGTTGTCTTATCATGACAACTGCCAATTGTTGTTTTGGACTGAATGTAAGATTCCATGTATTCTGAGACACATCTCTACTTTAGAGCAATAAAAAAAAGTGGATAAAAAGTCTTAGAATTGGGGGTATATGAGCAATTCACAGGCCAAGTCGATTAACTCCATTTGTAAATTCTTAATATAATTGTTATTTCCAAATTTTTTGCGTAACTAATTTTATATATTGTTACATTTAAGTAGTGCTATAATATAATGGTATATAAAAATACATTCAGCAAAGTTTACTTAAATTTAAAGTTTAAAAGGAATTTTAGAAAAGAATTTATATTATCAGTTTTTCTACTTATTGTTTTGTGGAGTTAATCGATTTGGCAAGTGAGCAGCTCATATGATGATTTATTAAAAAAAAATTATTAGTATCCAGAAAGACTAGTTCATAGCTAGGATCTATCTTCATATTGGATAAATTGACTTGGTGTATTGGCATATTACACACAAGTTAATAGTCAGTCAGTAAGAAAAATATTATTTTGTAAATCGTTTCAAATTTTAAAAATGATTTAACAGTAGTCAATTGTAAGTGTGTGAGTCTTCTAATAAACATTAAAGTGGTTAACAATATTTTTTACACTATTGAATTAGTAATTGATAATGTCAGAAACAATAATAGATATTAAGCTAGAATTGACTGTTGTTATTATAACAGATGTGTTTAGTGAAATCTGTTAATTTTAAAATTTGTATATTTAGATTTACAGACAAGTGTTTTAGGTTTAATATAATTTTTCTGTTACGTTATAAAAATATATTCTTGTATCATATGATACAAAGAATTGTATAATATTGTCATACTAAAGGAAAAGTGCATAATTTTAATACTTATATATCATTTTAATTTAATTTCAAAAATATGTATTTATACATTTTATGCTTTCCATAGGCAAACATTGATATATAAAATTATATGTTTATTACATAATTTTCTTGATGGATCTTTATTTTTGCATTACTAATCATTAAAAATTTGAAATGTACTGACAAGTCCCTGAAAAGGTATATAGATACTAATAGAGTAGACAGACATTTGCATATTGTAGCATAGTTCTTGTTTTTGTAAAGCAGAAGCAAGAATGCCATCTGCCTGCCTGCAGGTCACGCACACGTTCTCCCAGAAGAAGCCGGTCCAGGACGCATTCCCCTCGGAAGCTGTCTCGTAGCCCGCACCGACAACGCTCGCCCGTCCGTGCCCATTCACCAAAGCATAGGAGTCCTGACAGACACGAAGCTGAATGGCATCAGTATCCTTCGAGGTAAATTTTGCAAGCACTACACTGAATCTAGATGGGATGATTAATATGTTCAAAATTTTTATATAAGTTTTAATGTTAATTTTAACAAAATCTACACATTTTATCTATCATTTCATCAAAAATTTTGTACAAAAAGTATGTGTGTGTGTATGCTCATTAGGGTATAAGTATTTTGACAAAAATTTTTTTGTCAAAATGTTTGCACCTACCCCCTGACTTTTTGCATTTGGTTCAGTATTACTCAAATGTGAAGTTTCATATAGATAGGTTGATGATAACCCATGCTGACTTGAGTGCAAAACTTGAATATGAGGAATGATTGACATGGGAATATTAAGCAAGAGTAAAAAATCAATAACTAAGAAATATAACATTTTATTAAGTTTTTGATTAGTGGTATTGGTAGTAATCTGTAACATTTAATTACAAGATTAGAGACTACTGTGCAAACTTTCTCTTCAATGTTTTTTTTTTTTTTTAACTGGTAACTGGCAAGCACATTGCATGGTAAGTGAAGGGTGTGGTTCAAGTCTCACTCTGGGCTAATTCTTTTCTTCCAGAATGTTCTAAATTATTTGATAATTTATCAATTTAGATAAGAGATGGTGCCTAACATCTACCTCTAGTGCCAAATTACTTAGTTTCTAATTATTAATTATAGCATAATAATAGCCTGATTAATTATGGTGAGAGTTTGGATTAGTATCAATACATCAGGCTTTGGGATGTTGATATATATAGCCTTTGATGGTCTTGCACACAACACAATGCAAACTCCTTTTGTTTTTCATCCACAGTCAATAATCTATAAAAGTCTGGCAATAATTTAACAGCTCTTTCAGTAGTCATTTACAGCTCTTCATATGTTAATTGTCCTTTTGGCTTCTAAATATAGTGTTGTTTTTCCATGTTGAAGGACATTGCTGAAGAAAACGTGTATCCATTTGTAGCCAAGAAGAGAATCCTCTAATTTGAATTGATACAAAGTCATCAATTGTTTTCTCTAAAATGAGACAAGGTAAATAAAAGTATGCTACTACAGTAAAAAGAAATTAAACTTACCAAATAATTTGCTATATGTTTCTTCATGCAAAGGAATAAATTTCTTCCCATATGTTGATGTTCTCTGTTCAAATTTACCAGCCTTTTACTTTTGGTTTGAAGGTCAATGTTGTCATCAAAGAAAGAGAGGGAACTGCCAGTTCTTTGGATAAATACAAGTGCTGGCTATGCTTTTTTAGTTTTAGCTGCTAGAGAAATAGTTGTATCTATCACTACATATGATTTTAATGACTTCAAGAAGTAGAGGTCTTTATCGGAGCTTTTACAACTTCACTTCACATAAGCCATGAATTAATGTAAACTGTTACAACAAACAGAGATATATCACACAAAGCTTTCTCTACTCTGATGGATAGTTTGTTCTGACCTTACAAGAAACATTTTTAGGGAATAAATTGATCTTGTCATCCATTAAGCTTGACGCATGGCTGCCTTGCTTTTTCCCAAAAAATTATGCAATCATGAACTACAAGATTTGCACTCTTACAGTTAGCTTAACCTCATGTACGTTGTAAAATAAAACAGCCAATACTTGTCTATTTGACAGCAATTTGCTTCTAGTTATTCAGTGTTTTATGTTTCCTATCAAAAACACACTATCCTTAGAACTGCGTAATTTGTGACATAATGTTAGTGTAAATGTGCACAAATACATCTAACACAGCCAGAAACCGGACATGAAGTGACAGTGCTCCATGTATAATGACCAGTTCGGTCCTGAGTGAAGCACTGTACGTCCAGATTTGTTTTTTGACACATTTTTGACACTCAAGTCAGCATAGGTTAATATTTATTGCTGAGAAATTAAATATTAATATGGACATGTTTTTGAGTGAAAGAAAAAAAATGGGTGACCATTTAAAAATTTTGAAGTTGGAAAATAAGGGACACTTTAGTGTACAGTACATATATACAAATTGTTCAGATACCTGAGTGGTTACAAAGGTTTTGTAAATTACACATGCATATGAATGCAAATGCGTTAATTGTTTGAGTGTGTGCTTCAAGGATCTGTTGAAGCAGTAGTTGTGCATTTGAAGTGAAAATGTTTGGTAGAAGAGAACTAATAGACTTCCAGTTTGGAACAGTAGTTGGATTTTATATTAGTAATCTAACAATATGTTACACTAGTAGCCCGGACTGCCCCCTAGTGGGTGGTCTAGCAGCAGTGGTGTCATTCTGTAGTATAAATAATAAATTCATATCAATGGGAAATTTTTTTCCCTCCCATGGGAGAATTTCCCCCACAGGGAGGGGTTAAGAAATAATTATTTAGTGTTATTAAACATTCTATAAATACTTTAAAATAGTTTAATTTGTTTATTTACCTTTGCTGGTAAACCTCAATGTTAAATGCCATTTCTTCAACAAATTTCCCGTGAGTCAATGCGCGACATTCACTGAGTCATGGGATGTTGTAAACATGTGGCGCAAGATTAATCAAGGCATATAATAATTATTTATACCATTCTGTGGTATAAATAATAAATTCATATCAATAATAAATTCCTATTACAAATAAAAATAATTTATTGTTAATTTAAAATTATCGCTAGGGCGCCTCTAGTGGGCATTTTAGGCATACTGTTACAACTTAGATATACAAATATGCAATCAATGGCTTATATATATAAATTAATTGTTGAAGATGGAAGGCAGACAGTGTTACATCAGGAGAAAAGCACATTGGGATTTTTTACAAATTGTCTGTGTCTGGAGAAACCTAGTGAGAAATATTCATAAACCACATATTTTCTGCAGCAGCTATTTCTTGTGAGATGGAAATAACTCTAGGAACACACATTATCACCAAAACAATCTGGATAGAATTGAATTTGTTAGGCTACTATGGCAGTGAAGCTGTCCTCAAGCTGAGTAATGCTGAACAGTGCTTGAACTGGTGTTTGGCTTGCCATTCCTGGATTCTGGAAGATTAAAAGGAGTTGTTATTGAGAGTGAATCTTGCTACACGATGTTCCAATCTGGTGGATGAGTTTCAAATTGGTGACTACTTGGGGAACTGTTCCAACAGGACTGCTTAATGCCAACAGTTTGGAAGAGGTTCGATAATGGTTTGGAGCCACCAACTGGGACGGATTTGACTACTGGTTATGACGGAACAATGAGTCTCGTACATACTTGAATATTCTAGACAATTTTATATTGCCTATTTTGTGGCAGTACATCAGTATAGGAACAGTTGACTGTTTCAGTGCAACAATGCACCATGCCATATTTCGTGGCTTATACAGGACTGGCTTCAGGAGAATAAAGTTAAAAAAAGTTTGATTGGCCAGATCAAAGTCCAGATTTGAATCCCATAGAACACAAAGATGAAGTAGAATGCCAAAACTGATCTCCATAATGCCCTTCCTCCCAGTTTAACCTTGGAATGGCAATGCAGGAGTAATGGAAAAATTTCTGCTGAAATTTACAGGAAACTTGTGGAATCCAAGCCTATAGTCTCTTCAACAAAAGATGAGCTTTTAAGGTTGTTTTTGATGAACAGTTAGTTACACTTGTAGAAGGAAATTGTGACATGACAACACATCTAATCATTTGATGCTAAAATGAATCAGAACCTTTAGCTAGTGTTTTGAGAAAGTTTTTTAAATGGTAATACACATATATATATAGCGTTTTTTGGCAAATTGATTAATCCTTATTATAAATCTATAATTTCTAAATATTTGTAATTCAGTTTTATTATTTTTATATTTTTGTTGATTTTTTTTAATGATTTACACTTCAAATATTATTTACAAAACACTTTTATTGATTCAGCTACTCTTGTTTTAAACATTTCACTTCCAAAAAAGAACTGTTAAAATAATTCTTAAAAGGATTTTTAAAGAACAGTTAAACTCTTGAAATTTCAAGAATATCCATTCTGAGTTCATGTTCATTACTAGTATTTTTACATCATCAGAAATGGTAATAATGACAACACACTTTTATCAAAGGATTGGATTTCCAGTATATCTGTTAGTGTTCAATATATGTTTCACTATATTTATCCAGTTACAAGTTGTAACACTTCTGATGGCAAATGATATCAATATCTCCACATTAGAAAGTTAAAGGCAAAACAAAAATGTTTCATTTAAAGTTTAAATTTTGTTTATGCATTTAAGTTCTTCCCCTTCATGATGCATGGTGTCACTTTCTGACTTAACTGCATCACAAAGCAGCAAAATAGAAAATTTTGTTACTCAAAGTCAGTTTCATTAAATTTGTTAAAACACTACAAATGTTGTAAGTGCAGGTATTCCTCGTATAACACGGTAGATACGTTCGAAAAAAGTGCCATGTTATGTGAATCTGGGCTATACGAAACAAACGACTAATGCAAAACATGTGATTAGGAGTTTCAGAAGTTAACAAAAGTATACTATTCGTTTTCATTACTAAGAGAAATATGTCTATTAAAGCAATCAATACTTTAATTCTCATCAATAATTAACTAACAAGCACAATTAAAAGTACTGTTAATATTAATTTTACTTAAATGAGGACATTTGCTTTTTTCAAAGTATTTTTATCATCTGAACTTTTTGTTGATCTTGATCAAAAATAACAGCAACATCTTCATTTTTTTATTTTTATCATAATTTTCTATGAATGACAAAATAAAATATGATTAATCAATTAGTTTGTTCAGTCAAGTACCAATTGATAAGTTTTCCAGAATTTGTGCTAAATTGTTGGAGTTGAGAACAGTTTGAGTATTGAGATATTGTCGTATTTTTTCAAATGATTACTTACCTACAGTTAAAGAAGTTTAAACTTTTTAGGTAAGTTTATATTAACTTTACTAAATATGAAGATTAATCTATAAAAACAAAATGCAGTGACAGTCTTAAGGGCTAAAGTCTGAAAGCAACAACAATGATACCTGGTTGATAAAGTTAGGATGAGGAAGAAAAAATACTACTATC